AATAATAATAATAATAATAATAATAATAATAATAATAATAATGTGCTGGTCCTCCATACCAGTTTGGCTGAATTAAAGTAATTCTACAAAGAATAGTGCGACAAGATTCCTCTACAGTAATGTGAAAGACTCGTTGCCAGTTATCACACATGCTTGATTGCAGGTCGTGGCACATCCAGTTATTAAGTTTAGGTGGCATTTAGTTTTCTGCATAGCGCCAGGTAGGTTTTGAAGCTTTTATCTCTTAATCAATGAAATCATCACTTAAAAATTGTATTTTGTATTTAGTCATATTATCTTTGTCTAAAATTCAAATTAACTTGATATGAATCACTTAAATGTGACAAATATGTAAAAAAAAAAAATATTATGCATTAACAAAATTGTTAATGCATTTCACAGCACTGTATATATTTACAATACTGGAGCATAAGTATTATTGCATGGTGTCAAATGAGTGATTTCTTACTTACTTACTTTTAAGTGACAAATGGAAACTACATCTGTTTTAGATGCAGATGTGTTTTAAATCTGTTACAATGGCCAATGAGCAGAGTTGCATAACAGGTCATGAACTTGAGTTTGCAGTGTGGGGGTGAGGGGTGGCAGGCAGCCAGGCCCCAGACAGATATCAATAGACAAATCCTTTCCAGAGACACATCCACCCATGTTCTCTCTCTTTGTGTGTGTGTGTGTGTGTGTGTGTGTGTGTGTGTGTGTGTGTGAGAGAGAGAGAGAGAGAGAGAGCGTGATCACTTATGAACAGTGACAAAGAGAGAGAATGGGCACACATTTTTAAAGTGTTTGCTTTCTGGAGCCCACTCTGTCTCTTGTAATCTCAGGGCCTCTCCTAAATGCATTACTCAGTTTCTATTTTAAATTTGGCCATTTATTAAGCCTTTGGCAGATGGTAGAAAAACCTCAGAGGCACCACCCCATGTGAAACACACGTGCTAAAACATACACACATTTACATCAGAGAAGAAGGAAGGGATAGATTGGCTAAGACGACAATACTTTTTTGGAGAGCACATGGTGACACAGCGCATTGGGTAACAGCCGCGACTGTGGTCATTAACCTGACCTGTGTGAGTCAAAGGGAAAGGATGTGAAATGTAGAAGCACGGGGACGACTGAATGTGATGTGTTCGAAATTTTTCGAACATGGAGGTTCACAGACAGAGCACCGTGACCGGGGCACCTGGTGGTGTCAGTCTCCGGTGGATGATGTCAATGATCTTCATCTGCCTTATGAAAACCTGCTAATAAACTACACAAACCTTCAAACCTTCCCTGTGGTCCAGCCACATATACACTGAGGAAAGCAAAGGTCTAGTCAGACAAGATAAATGTAGATTATTTTCCATAAGTTAACAAAAAACAAATTTCTTAGAGATTTTTTTCCAGTAATGCATAACTACCTCAGATACCTTCATTATATTTGAAGCATCTTTTTTATTTTATTACAAAAGTCCAGCTGCCAGTCCAGCTGCATTGTTCAGCAGAGAACAAAAGAGCAAGGACAGCAGACTTTACTCAATTGCGGCTTTGATATAATGACGTAGATCAGCGCCCAAGCAATTACAAAGGTCAGGGCAGTGCTGTGAAAGAACAACACAACTCTATGAGATGACATCTGCACAGATTAACACAGAGAATCAAGCTTTCCTAATGTCCTTGGAGCTCGTTCAAGGAACATTGAGTGGGTTTGTTACTTTGAACTCAGTCAGTCTGAGGAGACAATGCCTACTTATTGTCTCAAAGGACAAAAGCGGGGGTCAGTCACTGTTCCCTCAGATAACAAACAATTGTTACACCATGACTGTATGGATCATGGTGGGTTATGTCACAAGAGCTTTACAACAAGACCTCCTTAGAAAAATACTTGCCTTGCATCTGACAGTTTGGATGATGCTGACTGTGGTTTAAGGTATCTGACTGTTCATACCATCAAACACGAAAGACAACTTTTGGGGAAACTGTAAACAAAGGCTGAGAAGTTGATCAGGTCCTCGTCACGTAATATGTTTTACTTGTCAAAAAAGGAAGTTTTTAATGATAATAAAGGCCGACCGTGTACGTTTATGCATGTGTACGTTTGTGTAATCCAAGTGATCACATTTGGATAGCACTAAAAATAACTGCCAAGATCCAGTGTGATCAATCACTCAGATCACTTGCTAAAGTGGTCATGTATTCATTTTGACCACATATCGTTTTTTGTGTATTCTTAACAAGGACATAGCAGGAAAGTGTGCAGTCAGGTTAAAATGCACCTGCAGTCAGGGTAAAAGAAAGTAAATTTTAGGGCTTTATATATGTATAATGATCTGGTCCTTGCCAGGTTGTAAAATGATTTAAATACAACCTGAGGTGAACAACAACATTTGACATATTACATCATGTCATTATTTGTTTAATAAAAACTAAACCAAAATGCAGAAGCTGTGTGAACTCCATGAGTCAGTAGCTTTTAAGAACCACCTACCTAAACTTACCTGAACATCTGCAGATGTAGCTTTTGGGTTTTTGTAGTTCCTCTGTAGGTTTTCCTAACTTTAAGACTTGGTAAGGACCAGATTATTTAAATGTTTTAATATTATTTCCTGACACATAAAGCCTTTAGGAATAAAAGAGGTTATTCTTTAATTTTACAGTGAATGTGTCATTAACTTTTTCGCTCTGTCATGTCCTCTTTTGCTGTCTCTTGTCTTATCAGCATTAACAACAGAAGCCAATGTCAATCTTTCTTTCTTTTTAACAAGACCTGGCTTCCAGTTTTTTTTCTTGATGAATAGAGACAGACAAGCAAATGTGCACAGAGTGGTACTGGATAGTAATAAAATTAAAATCTGAACACAAGCTGAACATGTGGGTACACATGATAGTCGTAGGTCGTACCCATGGTGCGTTTTAAAATCCGGCTCACATACAGGGATGACAGCTGTTGACTCTCTTTCCCCCCCTTTAATCACTGTTTATAGTCGGTGACATAGAAGAACATTCAGCAGCTGAAGAGACAGATTTTTCCAATTATCCATTGAAGTTATAAACAAAGGCAGAGAGAGTGTAAACACAGGATTTAATTTAATCCGGTGACCAAAAACATGACTCCCAGAGAACAGTAATGATGCTCTGTATATGCTAAATGTGTAAATAGACATTTGATAACGCCATCAGCATATAAACTTTAGCAGGTCATGTTTCGTGTCATGTTTGGTGTTTACAGCTTGTTCTACTACACCTGAGTAGGACACTGAATAGTACAGGAATATAAAACCTGGAAAAGTTACTGCTGCTTTATATATAGCTAGAAAAATAATCAAAGAAATCTGCGAGATTTAGACAGACACATCTTGATGCACGCTCAATCATCCAGGGAAGTAAATCTCCAAAAGTTGATTCTGTTCATCTGGACGCAGCGTTTTGTGGGAGAAACGTTTCGTCACTCATCCAAATGACTTCTTCAGTCTCAGCTGACTGCAGGTCAGCTGCAGGATTAAAACATTTCTCCCACAAAACGCTACGTCCAGATGAACAGAATCAACTTTTGGAGATAGACAGACACAGTTAAACCAGTACCAGTCTTTTTTTTAAAAAAAAAAAGCATAATAGTAACAGTCTCTCAGCACTGTTAAACATTTCTGCAAATTGTACAGATACCAATTCAATTTTGCAGTTTTGCAGTTGCAGCTTCTTCTGTATTTTTCCCATAAATAATAAATGCAATAATAGATTGCAGTGCATCATAGGAATTTAGCGTGATGTCACACTCTCAACCTAATAACGATGATCGTTTATTCTTTTTACTTTATGAAAGCATATTTCTAAAACCTGCCAAGTCGTATGTCATGAACCACTCTGCTTCTAGTTCAACCTGTTCAATCTGTTTGGCAAATGGCACAGAAAGTTTGCCGGTTAGAAGTCACTTTGCTCCAGTTATGCAAGCCTTGAAGCCATTCCAAATTAGTCGAGACGTCTGTGGGAGCTGCTTGAAAATGGAACGCTACTGAATAGATTTTTTTTTTTTTTTGATTAATTAGAGCAAAAACATCCTTTCCTTGTGCCTGTCCATCCGCCCGGCTGGCTGGACCGCTCTCCACCTGTGAGGTTTTTATTCAACCACCAAACTGAATTGGTGAACTGGGCTTGATTGGCTTCTCCAGGCATTCTTTGTTGCTCTCCAAGACCACTGGGAAAACAGCCAGCAGGAAACCAGATGACAGCAGTGGAAAGTGTGAACAACAATGAAGAGGAAGAGAGAGGGAACCTTGCATAACCAACAGCACAGGATATTATGTGGTGACAAATTACATGGCAACAAATGAGGGAGGAGAGACAATGAAAATGCATACAATTAATTTGAATGATCTGCCAAAGTTTGGGTTTTAAATAAGTGTGGTTAAGCTGAAAAGGTGTACATTGTTTTCTCGGCATTGTCACTGTTAAATATAACAATCCATATTAAAAATGCAGAGTAACATTGGTTGCCCAGTGTCTTAAAAACTGTCTTATTTACAGGATAATTTAAGTGTTCAGTATTCTGATATCATATTTGGTAACTGCAGTACATTCAGCTGAGCACTGTCACATTTCTTCAGAGGAAGTTCGAATATTACTGCAGCTTCTAAGTCCTAAATGCTGCAGACCTGTTCTACTTCAACTGCCTTCCTGTTACCAGTCCTCTTCAGTGTCTTTCTGAGTCTGCAGACATTATGTATGCAAACACAAACCATCTGAACACTTTGCACCTTGTTAGATCCCTGAACCGCTTTCTGTCTTTTCATTATCATTGCGCTGCTGATTAACACATCACCACAGAGAGCCAGTTGGCTGTTCATTCCGGTTTCAAAAGGAATGACGCAAATTCGTGACCCATTTGGTGCCCTGTGGTCCCAGGCCTGCTCTCTTCTTGCTTGTACACACCCCGGCTGGCACTCAGATCAGAACAGCTGAGACCCAGTCAAAGAATCCAAATGTACCATAGAGGGTCCCATATACCTACCGCAGTCCCATTGAGGCTCCTCTGGTGCGTTCTGCTGTCTGCTGCGACTGGTATTTAACACAAGCACATTACATTGCATAGTTACATAATTTTTCAAGTGTTTTAGCCATACCTTTCAGAAACCTATTGAACCAAATGCTACTCCTTTGTGGCCTAGTAGTTGGCAGTACATTAGACATACTTCTTTATCAATTCCTTAAATGCAGATGCAGTTTACAATCACAATTAAAGTAGTAGCACTTAAAAATGATGCATAAAGAGAGTTGGAACACTTAAAAAATTTGCCCATTGCCCGCTTGCCGAAACCCGGGATCGAACCAGGGACCTTTAGATCTTCAGTCTAACGCTCTCCCAACTGAGCTATTTCGGCTGGCGTGAACACACGCCACCATCTACCGGTTATAACAAAATGGGCATGTTTCGCTATATTTCGGTTGTAGTGATGTCTACAAGCTGCAAACTGTAATGTATACATATAGAGCGCGTTTCATTTAATAGTAGTTTGCACATGTCCGTTTAAAACCACATAAATGAATTAACTGAGTAATATGAACGTTTCGGTTTATGTCGATTAAAAAACAATAATAAATCGAATTTCATTAGAGGACTGCATATTCCACTTTCATATCTCACGTAGCCTGTGCTTTCAAATGTATAGTTTGAGGCTCCACAAACTCGGTCATGAAATATCTACGTCTGCAATTTTCAACTTCCCCACCAGAGGGCGCTCTATCACAGGACATTAAGTGCCACAAGCCCTCTGGACAAGATTTGAACGCTATTCTTTCCTTTTCCTGCATCCATTAGCTATTACCAATAACATCTTATTTACGATACACTGAAAGATCAGCCTAAATTAGCGTATAATGGCATGCAGTCACATACAGTGTGTGGCTAGTAGTATATAGGCCAATACACAATACAATACAATATAATATAAGCTTAAATTGATCCCAGTTTTACAATATCATGCGTCTTCCTCTTTACACAAACCTACTACATTTTTCAGTTTTTTTAGGTTACACACCGCCTGAACCATTTTCCTGTATTCCCATATGTTTGTTATTCTCTAATGAGAACTAGCTTTAGACATAAAAGCTGCAAACACTGAGCTGAAACATGCCTCTGCTGAAGTGAGACATGGACTTTAGATGCTTAGAGCCATCAGCTCCAAAAATTCCACATAAAACCAGTTTCTACTGGTTCACATTACATGCACTCCTTCACTGTAGCTTGTGATCACCTCACTATGTGCCAGAAAGAATGCTGGCCTTTGCCATAAAAGTGTATCTGCACAGATATCCTTACAACTCAACACTCCGTCCTCTACATTTCTTAGTCCTCACATGATTTATAGAAATTGGTTGCCACGCTGTGGGCCAAGAGAAATGGATGGTTAATTTAAAAAGTAAAAAAACAAGGTACCTTTTAGGGTAGCCACTCCTGACCATTTATTCCTGATGTCTGTCCAACTAAATTAGCTTTAACCTTTAACCCCAAAACAGCACCTAGGATAGAAAAGGGCACTTTATCATATCCATACTCCGCTGTGCAATGTTAGATAATAACCCTTGAGTTTCAGTGTAAATGTTACACTCCCCATTAGTGTAAAAAGGTTTTTTCCATTTACAAAAAAATAAATTAAAAATGATTTATTTATATGTCATTTAATTTTAACCAAAATTATGTCACTGGTATTTGCAGTGGCCTAATTGTTCTTTCGAGGTTTAAGTGCTGCTGAATTAGCCTACTTTACCTTGCAGGCTTCATCCCACATGGATGACCTTCTTTTTTTCCCCTATATTGCCGAGGTCTGTAGCGCCTCCCTCCCACGCAACACGAAGCCCACGCCACGTTTTCAAACATGCAGGCAGCTTTTGAGCCGCTACGCCGCCATGACCCACAGGAGAGCTCAGTGGGAGGGGCATGTGATGATTACTGCCAGGTATAGGTGCCTGCATTCCTACAGAGGGCACTTTTACTGAACATGAATGCACAGACTGAAATAGCACATCTTCACATAAAAAAGCCTACAGCGCCGAGGTTTGAGTTTAGCACACCAACCAGTGGAAAGACAATACTAAAATTATCACATGTAAATGGCACTACCCACTCATTATTGGCTGCATCTGATGGTGATAAATGAACACATCCACAAACACAATGTACCGTTTGTTCAACACAGAGACCACACAAAGCAAATGTTAAAGCGACTATTGGTCTCACCAACAAATGGAGGAGTCTCTGTATGCATGTGCGCATCACATCTTTGTGTTGATCATACTTCCTGATGAAGTTCATTTGGGGAGTTCGAGAGTGGTTGGATGCAGTTATGTTCTGTTCAGACGTCGCTGTATGCTCTTATGTGCGATTTCACCAGATGGACATACAGAGATTCCTTGATGTGTGAGCGAGAGTCTGTGGGGACATTATGTTCTTTTGCAGCATAGCCATGAGTGATTATATAGGCTATATGTACGGAGCTGCACGTTGTCCTCATGTTATTCCTCTTGTAGGAGGCTTAAAAAACCTAGTGAAGAAATGTAAAACCTGTTGTTTTTTTTGTTTTTTTATCTTGGACGAAGTCTGAGTAGCTCTGACCCCCAGCTGGAAATTTAAACAAACTTGCAACACAGCACACACGCGAAAGAAAAACTCAATTCATTCTTTTAATTCACTGTTTTGTGACACATTCACATAAAAACACTGTGGAGAAAACTTCTAAAGATATTCTTGGTGTACATATGTTATATATTTTCACTTGTTAACATTCACTAATGCATTATTAGTGTGATAAATCACACGGCCGCTGCAATGAACAATAGCGTGAGTACAATGTTAGAGCAGTGAACACAAGCATGTAAAGTCAACACTACTCTTTATAACGCCAGGAAGCTGTTAGGGCCCAGCTGTGGTGACCGTTACACTCCCCTGGGAGGAGCTGACCTGTGGGACCGCATGTCTGGGTGCAACGACACAGAGACGAGGCAGCTGGATCACTGCTCTGCTCTAGGAAAGTCGTTTTATAACCACACACTTCCGTTTCATCATGTGGGCAATATTTACATCATTTACATGAATTTTCTTCTAAGCAGCTTTACATCTAAAATGCAGTCTAAGACTATAGACCTGGAATAAACACAGTATCTGTGAATGATGATTGTGTCTTTTCTTTCCCATCACGAGTCACATGAGAAGATTTCTCATGCTAACAGTGAACGCGAATCTACAGCCAGCGGCCAGTTAACTTAGTTTAGCATAACAAGTGGAAACAGGGGGAGACAGCTAGACTGCAATACCAAATAATATATTACACCATTTGCTATAAACTGGGGGCAAAAGAAGTGTTGCGAAATCTTATGCAAGCGCTTTAATATCTTAGCACACGATAAACTCACACTAAAGCAAAACTTGATTTACTAATTTACACTTTTAACTGTCCTCTGACTTGTTCTTTATCGTCTCTCCCCAGGCTGACCCTGAAAAGTTAAAAGTTTATCAGCTGTCACTGAGCCTTTCATTTAAATATCTGACATGCTCCCTTTTTTGTTCCGAATGCACAGTATACCATTTAGCGGAACGTTTAAGGCAGAGATAATATTAAATACATTCAAAGAATTTATGTGTTTGAAGTGTATCAACATTTTTTTAAAGCCTTGGAGGCTTTAAGTGGGAGAAGGCAGATCATATCTTCTGCTGGCTAAACACATTCTTTGGAGTGGTTATGTAAGCACCACTATGAGGATGCTCTATTATTCAGCTCCATATGTAAATAGACTTCAGTGATTCACAGAGTGCAAACTATGTACAGTGTGTGTTGAATGATTCTCTGCAGAGGCTGTGAGCGCCACAGTGATTGTGACACCCTGCTTCCACTGCAGCCTGCGCTGAGGGGAGAGTGTAGCAGGAGCTTGCTGCTGGTGGTTACATTTAAACGTCTCCCCAAGGTGTAAATGTGATTTGCACATTTCTCACACCGGCTTCTCGCACCGGCGAGCTTCATTATGGAGCCTGACCTGCATGTTTCAGTCTCACAGGGCTTCTCCCAGGCAGCGTTCGGTACCTTCGCTCGCTTCTAGACGCACGTGCCTGCTGGTCTTTCGGTTGTCCACCCAGGAGTTGTGTATGACAGTCCCACCTGGTGAAGGGTCTACCTGGAGCAGGGACACCACCCTCTTTTTAACCTTGGCGCGAAGGGCACGGCGCAGTTTCTGTCGGGTGAAAGCGTACAGCAGCGGGTGGGAGACGGTGGTTCCGTAAGCCAGAGCGAGGAACCAGAGGCGTAGGCTGACGAGGACGTCGCTGGGGCCGATGCCCAGGATTAGGACGTTGGTCACTGAGAGGGGAGCCCAGCAGCCCAGAAAGGTCGAAATGATGATGAGGGACATCTTAAAGACACGTCTCTGACGCTCTCGGCGATCTCGATGTCGTCTCACTGCCCGCCGCAGGGCGATGATGGCCGACA